TATGACATTTTTAAATATTTTAAAATTTCAACTTACAAAGCATATAAAAAAATCTCTCGGAATTTCTTAGCAATGGGCGATCAAGAACCAGATTTCAATAATCATATTTATGAGGAACATTATTTGGCTAGTGATGATGACAATGGAATTGAAGATTTCGATTTTCCTGATAATGATACATTATACAATGACGGATTTCAAACAGGAGAAAGCAGTAATCCTAATTTAGGTGAGTTTTTTAATATTTTGTTTAATTTTTCATTCTATTTCAAATTCTATATTGTAACAAACATGTTTAATGTTAAATGTTAATATTTTCATTGATGAACATACAGAGGACGCAAATAATGATGAAGACGAAAATCATTTTGTTGATGAAGATATAGAGATTAATATTGATTACAATGAAGGTATTAAATTCAATTCAGGATACTAAAGTTTTTACAGAAAAAAATATAATTCTTTGAGAATAGTATTTATATAATTCTTTCAGAATGATTATATATTTGCTATTGTAAACAGGACAACCACATGTTACTCATGAAGATACAGAGTTTAATATTGAATTCAGTGAAGGTACTAAATTCAATTCAGTATATTTTAATTTTTACAGAAAAAATAAAATTGTGTCAGAATAATATTTATATAATTCTTTCAGAATAATTTTGTATTTGCTATGTTTAAGCAGGACAACCACATGTTACTCATGATAATGTTTCTCCTGGTGGCACCTTGTATTGGACACCGATTATTTTAGACGACATCAAACCAAAAGTTTCATCAAAATTTAATTCATATGGTGAAGCAGAAAAAATGTATAGAAAATATGCATTAGAATCTGGTTTTGATGTCAGGCTTGGAAGAGTCCAAAAAACGAAAAATGGGATTATTACAAATAGACATCTTGTGTGCAATCGGGAAGGTAATCTGAATACTAGTAAACTAGATACTCTAGATATTCAGCATAAAAAGACTCAAAGAAGGAAATATTTATTTAGGAGGAATTGTAAAGCGAAAGTTGTTTTAGAAATGATTCCCAGTACTCTTAGATATGTCGTGAGTGATTTTGTAGAGCGACATAATCATGAGTTGTTTAGCAAGGGCAATATGAACTTATCTCGTTCAAAAAGAAAACTTGATTATTCCCAAGAAATTTTCATTCATAATTTGTCAAAACAAAACATTGGTCCTGTAAAAGCACATAGACTGTATAGTGCTCTTCAGGTTGGTCCTTCGGTTCGAGGTGGATTGGTTACTGATTTCAAGAATGCTAGGAGGAATCTTAATTGTTACATAGGTGGGAGGGACGCGAAATTCCTTGTTGACAAGATGAATGACAGGAATAAAAATGTACCATCATTTACTTTTGAGTATAAAGTGTTGAACAAGAGATTGAATTCTCTATTCTGGGCTGACGAAACAGCAAAGTATAATTACAATTCATTCGGAGACGTTGTATCACTCAATGCTACATTCAGCATGAATAAGTATTTCTAACCTTTAATACTTTTCAATAAGAATTTCATTATTTTCAGTTATGTAAACTAATATTTTATTTTTTAAATATGTATGATATGGTTTTTGTTCCGTTTACTGGCATCGATAATCACAAAAAATGTGTAACATTTGGTGTTGGTCTTTTAAGTAAAGAAGATGGAGTTTCTTATGAATGGTTGCTTAGAGCTTTTTTGAAAGCTTTTAGAAAACAACCTCAATTGGTTTTATCTGATCAAGATCCAACTTTGAAAAAAGTTATAGATAAGGTTTTCCCATTGACACATCGTAGGTTATGTATGTGGCATATAACGAAGAAGTTGCCAAATAAGGTATGCATAAAACGAATATTATTCTTATTTTTTTGTTATGATTCTACAATTATTTTTTCATATTCTACCAGAATGTTTTGCTTTAACAGAATCAATTGCATTAACTCTTAATTTTTGTTATCATTCTTCAATGATTTTTTAAAATGCTATCTTCATTATCTCATATTCTACCAGAATCAATTGATTTTAACAAAATTAATAACTTTAACTCTTACTTTTTGTTATGATTCTACAATTATCTCATATTCTGACATAATCAAGTGATTTTAACATAATCAATTACTTTAACTCTTTCTTTTTTATTTTAAAATTCTGCCTTCATTATCTCATACTCCGACATAATCAATTGATATTAACATAATCAATTAGTTTAACTCTTACTTTTTGTTATGGTTCTACAATTATTTTTTTCATATTCTACCTTCATGTTATCATATTCTAACAGACTCAATTTATACAGATTTTATCAATTGAAGATGCAACCACCAATCAAAAATTTCGAAAGCGTTTTCACTCTATAATTTGGAATTCTAAGCTGGAACCACATGAATTCGAGAATGTGTGGCGTCAGATGTTGGAGGAGTTTAAAATTACTGATAACACTTGGATGAATACAATGTATGGTTTGCGAAAATTTTGGATCCCCGCATTTTTCAAGCACATTCCAATGTCTGGTCTTATGCGAACTACATCGCTGTCTGAAAGTTAGAATTGGTCATTTCAAACCACCACATTAACCGGTTCTTATCTTGTCATGTTTATGATGACATTTGAATCAGTTATGGAACAACAACGACATAACCAAATTCTCAATGATTTTAATACTGCCACCACTTTTCCTAAATTCATTACCCGTACTCCGTATAAACCTCATGCTTCATATGTATATACACAAAAGATTTTTTTATCAGGTTCAGAAAGAGATATCAAGAGTTGAAGATAATTGTTTCCAAAAGAATGTGATATCTTCCAATGGTGTTGACACAGTTATTGTTCTGGAGAAAACAAAGAACATAACTATTAGGCAAACAAATGATGTCGATGTTGATGACAAAGATGAGGAATACAATTACGATTGTTTTATAAGGGATACTGAATACACGATATATTTTTTTTCACATTAATTTTCATTTTATCATTTACATTTAAACACTAAAAATTTATAACTTAAACATTCTCACTAATCATCTTATATTTTCTAGGTCACACACTCAACCAAAGATGGTTCGTTCAAATGTACTTGTATGCATTTTGAACATGTAGGTATCTTATGCATACACATATTCTGTGTGTTTAAGTTTTATGGCATCGAACAAATTCCTGAAAAGTACATTTTGAAACGTTGGCGTAGGTATGTTATTCCAACAGAATTACTGAAAAGACGCTTCACTAATTCTTTTAACGATTCTAATTCCGACATGACTGCTATTGATATTTTTGCAACTATTGATCGTTGTTTGTCTTTTTTGAGCCATGATGCAGCTAAGTTAAAGTTATACCTCGACGAGCAGAATAAGTTGAAAAAAAATTCGTAGACGACTGTCCAAATCATGATCTACCGACCAGAGCAGATCATTTCAAGAAGCTTTTAGGCGTGGTTGGTCCTGATGTAGAACCTGATGTTAATGACATTCAGAATCCTACAGATATTCGTAACAAAGGTTGCGGTAGTCGTGGGAAAAGATGAAAATCTACAAAAGAGATGATTGAGAAGGAAAGCACGAAACCTAAGAGAAAATGTGCTACATGTGAACAGATGGTTCATCATGAGAAAAGAAATTATCCTCTAAAGAACGCCCAAAAATAAGTTCATTGTTTTTTTATTGGTTTTATTTCGTTCAATAAAGTATTCACTTTGATTGCTAGTGAGGATGACATTGTCAATCAACATAACAATATTTATCTTTTCTTATTACTTAAAAATAATCATAAAACGTAATACAAAAATTCATTCCATCAATTGTATAAATTCATTATTTTCAAAAATGTTAATACAAAAATTCCATCGATTGTATAAATTACAGCAACATATACAACTTCTTTCAATCATTTTAAGATTGATTTTAATCTTAACAAAAATGTTTTATTGTTTAGTGTAGTATACAAACGATATCTGCAATTTATATACAAGTATTCATTATATTATATTCTATTTCAAAATGACTATATATTACGTAAACATATTCATTCTAACATAATTTTATATATAAACATACACTTTTCATATACATCCAATTTACATACTAGTATTCTTTATAACATTTTTTTTTATCTTTTATGAATTATACATTTGCACACACATATTTAATTTCCAAAAGGGTACATCATACCAAAAATATACGATTTCTCATCTACATCCAATTAATAGATAATAAAAAACTATAATTTATTCTGATAGAATAATAACAATATAAAACTACTATATATATGCATCAAAAAACTAAAAAAACAGCCCAACCACAAAATATATGAAGTCGATGATATTGATTTTATATTTTCTAAAGGTAATCATTACAAAAGAATTTTAGATTTTGGATTTTTATGTGTTATACACGTACAAACACATACTTACTTTTAAACAGGGTACAATATACCGAAAAAAGATCCAATCGTCATCTACATCCAATTAATATAAAATCAAATAACTATAACGTATTCTACCAGAATCATAACATATACTACATAACATCATCATCATATAAACTGTAAAAAACAGTCTGGTCACAAAACATTATTAACCACAACCTTGAATTATATTAACAACATTATTACAAAAAAAAATACATCAACACATGCATTATTAACAACAACCTTGAAGTGTATTTTAAAAAACTTCATAACCTCTGCAGACAAACACAACCTTTATATGAAAATTAATATTCCATTATATGAAAATTACATTACCAACAACAACCTTTGATTTTCACAATGCACAACATCATCATCCCAGAAATTAAACAAGGCATCAACACACCTTTATATGAAAATTAATATTCCATTATAAGATATAAGCTTAAATACTGATAACATTACTTCATAACTTCTGATAGACAAACTACTTTTTCAAACATCTAACATAATGCAGAGTCATGTTTTAACACCCAAAAAATAAAAAGTTCAGCTCATGACATATCAAAGTTTATCTTTCAACTTATTAAATACCACTCCAAATTCTTACCTACGACCCTTTGTTTTTCTTTTTTTCTTCCTGTTTTCAGCTGAATCTCTTATAAGCATATCTTGTTCCAAAATATCAAGCTTACGAAACACTTCAAAATCTTTAACTATCATAGTCTTGAACTTATTGAACTCAGCTGTCAACAATCTTGCCATGTATTTCGTCCTTAACTTAATTGTAGCACTCACATCAGCAGACATTTTACCTGTAAGACCACACTCCCAACGCCCTTCATTTTCCCCCATGTAACTTTCCATATGCCTCATGAGGTATATTCCATATTCTGTTCCAGCTTTTTCGACTAGCCAAGATATGTTCATCACCCGTCCCGCTTTAAAAGTTAACGTTTTTGCCATTGGATGATGTTGTGATGTCAAGTAGTTGCAAAACAGTTTTTTCTGTCATTAAATACAAAAATTACATCAAACATACTCTTATAATATTCCTTAGAATAGAAAAATATTGATCAAAAATTTATTGATTATCTTACCACCAGGTTTAGTATCATGCCATACTTTCTTTCCAAAGTTCTTGTTCTCTTCACATGATCTACTATGTAGTACAAACTTGATCTCAGATCAAATATGAGTAAGTAATACTTTCCATCATCAACTATTGGGAAGAAAACCTTGTACACATTAAAAGAAGAAGTTAAGTTAATTTTAATTGATGCCACAAATATTACATTTATTAAATAAACTTACAAGTGCAACATCTCTAAAACTTAGCTTCACATCAAATTTCTTAGTGTAGATTCGCAATAAAGTAGCAAAAAGCCTATATTTCATATCTTCCGACTTTAGCTCATTCAATATATCTTCTGTCTGAAAAAACCCACATCAACATCAATATTAATTCTACAAAAATATATTTGAATTAAAAATTAATTTACAAAATAAATTCATATCACAATAGTTGTATCGAAGAAAAATCTCAAAAGCGATGACTCATCCTTGTAGTTCTCCATTTTATTTAAAAACGCATCCCAACAATCAATTATTTTAGAATGCAAAAACATTCTATGATTGAATTGATATGCAAAACCTTTGTGCAGCAAATGACCTGTTCCAATGTCCCAAATCTCATCCCTGTGACAAAAATTATGTATAAAATCAATCTGAATACATTCATTTTAAAATTATAGAAATATAATAGGTGACACATATATAAACATATATATAAATACGGACCCATCATCTCTTTTAGATGCAAAAACTGAATTGCATATCCCTGTTTCATCCTTAGTCAGCTTTTCCCCAACCTTAACAATTCTTTCAATATTGGGCGAATGAAATATTTTTGCTTTTTCAGGAATACGTTTTTCCCTTTTGTCATTATCATCATATCCTGCAACATTATCAACAGCTTCTCCTATATTTCTTCCTACCACATTATCCCCATTGATTACTGACATTCGCTTTTTCCTTTTATACACCTGTAACTCAGTTTCATCCAACAACTTATGTCACAATAAAATATTTAAATTATTAATTTAAGTAAAAAATTCGAGGTTAACTTCAACCGAAAAATAAATTTAACTTAAAAGAAAATCAAAAGACATTTTGTAGATATTTTTTTAGATAGTTAGAAGTTATAAGCTGTAGTTTCAAATGTAAAATCAATTAAATAAAATAAAGTTGCTAAAAAGTATTTTGAGAAATTAATAAGTTAATAATTGTTATAGATTATTGTTTTAAGCTATTTTTTTGGATTGCATTTAAAAACAAATTATTAATTTATTGAGTGTTTGTAAAGTTAATAAGTTAAAAATATATTTAGAAAATTGAAAAACACTTTTGAAAAAAACTTTTTTATAAGCTTAAAAAAACATATTTTAGGCTTTTTGATTTTAAAATTACCAAAATACTATTATGTTATGTCCATCTAACCTTATACTCACATATCCAACTAGTGTTATACCTGACCGGATTGGCCGATTAAAAACAATGAATAACAAGCTTGATTAAAATATACAAAAGTTGTTTAGGAAGACAAAAAATAAAGATTAGTATAAATTCATAAGAACTTATTAAAAATAAACATACATAATGAAAATGAAATGGTTAGAAACATATAAATAAGCACACAACACTTGATAAGAGATAAATCAACTTTACTTTAGCTTGAATCAGAATTCTAAATTCAGGATTTGTTCAATGTAACTTATTTACACGAATAATAGTGTGACATTAATGGCTATATAATAATAATTAATAAAACAAAACATACATTTTCATAGTTTTTCCCAATGTATAGGTAGCCAAACCATGAGAAACGATCACTAACCAATCCATATCAGACACGTGTGAAGTAGGAACAAAAGTCCACCTTATACCTCTAATGTCACTATTTTGTTCATACAACCCACATTCAAAACACAATCGCTGAAAAATGATTTCTTTTCTCAATTGCTTTTACAAAACTAACCTCCCAGCCACTTCCTTCTTTATAACATTCCACCTGCCAAAAAATGGCCAAAAACGCAAGTCAAACACAAATGACAAAACAGTTTTGAAAAAAAGTCAAAGTCATGGTTACATACAATGCCCAAAACTTGATTCTTATCCGTGGATCCTCCAATTGCATACATTTTTTCTCCAATCACAAAAGCACCAAAATTGCATCTACTAAAGTTCATCGGTTTACATTCTACCCAAAAAAAACCCATGTGAGTATCAAAACATTCAACTACTTAGGGGCGGAGCCAAGATTTTTGTATAAAATGGGCTTATATACTTATATATGTGACATTGAAGGTTAAATATTTTTTATACGACATAATAAGAAATAATTTTCATGGAAAAGTCATAATATAATTAAAATTTTAAATAATAATAATATTTTTTTGTTGAAGATGAATATCATAAGAGTTAGATTTTCCTCAAATATGAGTTCTTTTTTATGTTGTGGTTTTCATTTCTTGTGTCTCTTGAGTTTTGTTTGGTTGTAAAGTATATGTTTTTTTCACTCTTTTTGTTAATCATTTTACTGTTTCAAGCACCGACATCTATCCTTTTTTTACAGACTGTAGATTTTTTTTACACATTAACATAGGTCATAGACATATAAGAAAAAGTCTTTCTTATGTTTCCAAAGCATTTTAATTGTAAGAGGGTACACTATTTTGTATACTACTCTATATATTAAACAACTCACACAGATTGTTAGAGAGAAAGTAAAGATGAGAGAGAGACTAAATATTTGAGAGTTAGAGAATACAATTACATACATCGATTTCAGACGGCAAAAACTTAAAGAATTTGAAGGGTGTATGAAATTTGGATTTGACAACAAAGACCATCGAGATGGATGCTTTCCTTCAAACAAGAGTTGCGGTTTCCATTGAAGTGTGACTAGGTAACCTTTTGGAGATGGAGGTCAGCCGTTAAGGTTTCTTAAATTTGAGATATTTTTTAATCTTTTATGGATTTTATAGAAATTTTAATGTTCTAAACTAGGCGGGATTTGCGTTTTTAAAAGATTTCGAAATTTTGGTACTTTACCTTTCTTGATTTTGTTTATTGGTTAAGTTTTAATTTCATGATCTTGTTTTCAAATTTTGAAATAACAAATTATCTTGTTATTTATGTGAATAGAAAGGTTAAAACCCAATGGTTGAACCAAAGCAAGAAGTTAAAGAGGGGTTCAACTCATATTGCTTTCGAAACCCTAAAAAAAAGTAAGAGAAATAAAAAAATATACGAGACTAATATATTAGAATTAGACATGTTAAGGGGGACTCAACACCTGCCAGCCCCCCTACTATCTCTGCCATTGCAACTACTATCTGTAAATACTTTTCCTGCATCATATCCTCCAACTGTGTATTTATTATATTATTACACATAAACCAATCAACAAAATGTTACATGAATTTATAAGCAATTTCAAAATAGAGTTATATACTGTCACACCCCAAAATCGGAACGGCGGAAACGTTTGGGGTGGAGGACGTCATGTACAGTATCAAAACACAGAATAATAGTAAACAAGAAAACAGCATCATCCATTGCATTAATAATATAATTTAATACGAGTGATTTCTGTATAGTTTATAAGACACCAAAAATGTAAATCAAAATAAAAGATGAGACTTGAATGCGCTCCATCTTCTCAAAGGCTGGCATCGGTACCTATCTACCGATGACTTGAGAATACAAGTTATTTTGAAAGAGTTTATCAGCTTTAAAACTGGTGAGTTCATAAGTATTTTAGTGTCATTATTTGCATCAAAATGTTTGTAAATGTGTTTGAAGTATGAGTTTGTAAATGTTTGTAGTAACAATAAGTGAATGTTTGTAACTCCTAGAAAATCCTATATTTTCTACTAAAAGTAGCCTTCTACCAAGACTGTTTGTATGTTTGTTTCTTGTAAAAGTGTATAATTTTCCCAAGTGTAATTATCATTAACAAAATATAGTTTATACATTATTGTTTATGTGAAATGATCACAAAGTGAATGCAAAGGGGAAATTAATGTAGTATTGTAGTGTTGTATTATAATAACTACTGATGTACTAACTACCTTAAACCAGATTTATATCAAGGTATTATGTGATTTGATTGTACCATACTATTGACTATAAACACGACGATGAAAGACATCGGAAGTAATGACATTTGGCACCCGTAAACCTATAGGTCCCACTGTAGCTAGCAACAAAGGTGTAGGATAGTCAATCCAATACAAATCTATACGTAAATTCACGCTCTCCTTCCAAGAGACACTGGCTACAAATCGGGCCATGGCAATGATGACATGCCCCGAAACAGTGGTTCACATTTATGTTATAGTATACTTGTATATGTATTGTATGTACTAGTGTAGTGAATGTATTGTTTCTCGTTATAGTATTCTATATCTGTTTCTCATCATAGTATAATTGTATAGTTTCTCATAATAGTAAGTTCTCTTAGTTTCCCATCATAGTATAGTTGTATAGTTTCTCATAATAGTAAGTATTGACGCATGAATGAACTGACTCTTTATATGCTTCATTGAACTAGAAGTAATGAGTAGTATATCCCGAAACTATACCTATTATAGTTTACTAGTAGAATTGTTTGTATGACTGAATGTATTGAAATGAGATAAAACTCTTTATAATAGTTTACAAGGAACATGAAATAAAGTGAGTTGGCAGCCCTAAGTCCATCAATCCTTACTTATATAACCATATACATATTAGACATGGTTTTAACAATATATAAGTTTGAAAACTGTAATAGAAAGGTTTGATATATAAAAGTGAATTTGATAAAGAGTTTAACATGTAAACGAGTTTGATAAGCAGTTTGAAGTCATTTGGTTGATAAAACAGTTAAAAGCATAGTAAATCCGTATGTTTGATAGTTATTAATCACATGTGATTGATATAATAACTATAAGTTTCAACTTGTATCCCCCCCCCCCCCATAAAAGCATTTAAAATCATTTAAAAGGTTGATTAAGGGGTATAAACTCACTTGTAGTGAGTGGTTTGGATGAAAGTGTTGGATAAGGTGCTAGGTGTCAAGTGAAGACTTGAACACACACACTGATCCTATTTAACATATAAAGACACATATATGTATCTAATTAGTGATTATAACACTAATTAAGCAAGTAAATACACCCTATAACATGGAAAACACTTTGATTTAAGTGTTATAAGATCATAGGGTTTCATTTAAGGGTTGTATGGCTTTGCTATTGAGTTCACGGCCCAAGGACCAACTGTCCATGAGTTTACAGCCTAGGGTTTGCGGCCCTTATGGGTTTACGACCGTAAACCCATGGTGACTTGTACCAATTCAATGTTTAAGGTCCTTAGCTCAAAGGGAAGGTGTTCTAGGCCAAGTTCCAAGCCTTAGGAAGGTATTTAGGGCAACAATGCACCCTTTATTAGAGTTTACGGCCAAGGGAGATTGCCTTGGCCGTAAACTCCCTTGGTTGTATAATTCTTGGTGTTTTCAAGTCCCTAACTCATTATACTAACTTATAAACATGCAAGGGAGGTAAGGACTTACAGTTTGAAGGCTAAAAAGAGGAGTTGTCGGCCCAAAACACACAAGTGTTCTTGAGGATCTTGAAGATCTAGAATAAAAATGGAATTGGTAGGTGGATTCAAAGGTGAATCAAGTAGAAATGATGTAACAACTCAAAGATGGAAGGATTTTACTTACTTTTGTGAAGATTTGAAAGGAAAACTTGAAGATCCTTGGGAGAGAATCCGAGTTTTCTAGCTTGGAAGTTGAAGAATGAGGGAAAAATGACTAAGTGTCATATTTATACTAGGGGTTCACAGCCACTTGGAGTTTACGGCCGTAAACCTAAGTGTCTTGGCTGTGAACTCCTCTTTTGAGGGTTTGAGGCTTGTTTGAAAGGTTACAAGTTCAACAGACACATTCATTCACTTATTCCTTTGATGTATTAAGCCTTAGAATGCTCAAACGAACACCAAAAGTGCTAAAAGTTAGCAGAAGTAAGTTTGACTAGATTGAAATGTAGGGTTCGTATAAGATAGAAATTTCGGGTTGTCACATCATCCCCCCGTTAGATGAATTTATAAGCAATTTCAAATAGAGTTATATATAATGTAACACAAAGTTATAAACTTACAATTTCTCATTATATATAACCATGGAATGGCAACCCTTCATTTTGTTCATGTCTACAAGTGTTGACCACGTTTCTTCACACGGATCAAACATTTCAACATAACTACATCCCACAAACAATTTAAGCATCCTCTTAATTAATAACAATAACAATAATACATTATTTAATTATATGTTGTTACCTCAAATAAGATTGTCCATCAAATCCACTGATAACATAGCATTGTTGAGTTCTACTGCTGCTGGACCGAATCTCTACAAAAAACAATAAATTTTAAAGTAAAAATTAGAAGTGGCATTTTTTAAAATATGAATGTAGAAGTACCTTGTTATTCATGGAGTAAAGTCATTTATTTTTCATTATTTTCTTCTACATCATGCTCAATTTCCTCATTAGATGATGACAATTGGCGATTCGGGTTGTCATCTACTAGTTGAGATGAAGAAATTGGCAACTCCTCTGTGTTGGTGTTTGTATCAGGATTCAGCTCTGATACAAAAGCTTGGACACATTGAGCTTTATCAATGGCAGTGTGAGTGAGCTCAGTTTCTTCCAAACTATTATCTCTAAAACAATTCATCATGAAAGGCAATACAAGAAATAACAATTTACTTGGATATAACTTATAAGTATGATCCACTGATAGCCTACAAATGCTTAACTGCGATATATACACAAAATATCGCAAATAAATAAACTAATGCAAATATTTTCCATAGAAAGAAATATTACATTATTACCCTTTTAAAAGTATGGTGGTAAATAGTCGAAACTCTACCATTCTCACTAGCAAAATCACTTTGTGTCCCTCTAGGTTGACAATGTATCCATCCCTATCACTAAATCTCGACCTTTCCTTCAAATGTTGGTCATCTAGTGCAAATATAAACATCACCAATATAGATTAAAAAAGACAAAACTGCAAATTTGGTCCTTGTGGTTTGTAAAAAACTTTGGATATGGTCCAAAAGTTTTCGGCTTGCACGGAAGGTCCAAAATCAAAACGTTTTCATGAATTTGGTCCCAAAATCATAAGATTCCCGTGGTTTTGGTCCTTGGAAGACCTGAAATGATGGTTTTGCCCTTCTAATTTCTTTTTTACATTATTTTTACCATTTATAATGTTTTTATAATTACAAAATAAAAAGAAATTAAAAAAAATATATACACCCGACCATACCGTCTCTCTCTCACACACAGACTCTCTCCCCTCTCTCCCCCCTCTCTCTCCTCTTTCTTTTCTTCTTCTTCTTCTCATTCTTTAAAACCTGCAACAAAACACAAATCCACTTGAATATTGAGTGTAAGCTTCATTGCAGCCCACTATTCCTCCCTCCTATTTTCTTCATTGGAAAAACCCAAACAAAAAAACACCCAACGAGGACTGCCACCTCTAACCTACAACTGGATCAAAAACACCCACCATTACATATTCAAAATCAATCTCCAAATGTTCCAATGACATCGGTTTTACGTTTCCTTCAAACAAATCGAGCTGTAAAAAAACCAACAAAAACTAACCTTAAAAGCTTCAATCCATCGGTTTTGCATTCATCGATTTAATCCTACAGAATCCCAACTCAGTTTAACACCAATCGATTCAATCATGCTTACATCTACACACCACATATAGGGATTCCACCTGATAATAATGCATAAAAGCTCATGGGTTTTCAGAATATCCATCATGAACTGGGTGATTCCAATGTTTATCAAATTCAATCATATGTTCTTCATCAATAATATGCATAAAGAAAACTCCCAATTCCTCATTAATAAACACGAATTGCTCAAATTGAACAAAAAATGTAGAAATTGAAACTCACAAAGTCTTTGAGATAATGAATGGATCCCAGAAAATCTACACCCACCCACATGATAATAAACACCAATTGTAGAAATTGAAAATCAAAATTCTAAGCTAACCTAGAAATTTTCAGAAAACACAAAATCAAATCTAAAATGGAACCTTAGAAGATTTCGATGCCTTGGGGAAAGACATTAGTAGATTGTCACAAGTTAACACGCTTCAAGCTGTCGAATTTGCTATCAGATTCACCGTTTTCGTATCGATGTTTTGGTCTAGATGGCATGATTCAAGCTCTAAAACTTAAACCCATTGGCTCAAGAAGAAGAAGGTGGAATGGAGGCAGTGTGAGGTAAGAAACTTACCGGCGAGAAGGGTCGACGACTATTGTAGGGCATCTTTACGGGAAAGGAAGGTGATAGCTATGGAAACGAATTGATCATGGAAGTCTTTTTGATGAGAGAGAGAGAGAGAGAGAGAGAGAGAGAGAGAAATATGTGGGGTGGGTATTGTGTGGTCAAATGGTCATGCTTGTTTCTTTTTTTTCTTTTATATTAAAACAATCAAAATAAACAAAGAAAATGTAAAAAAGAAATAATAAGGGTAAAATACTCTTTTCATATTTATTTGGACCAAATTCACGGAAAAGTTTTGATTTTGGACCTTCTGTGCAAGTCGAAAACTTTTTGGACCCTATCCAAAGTTTTTTTGCAAACCACAAGGACTAAATTTGCAGTTTTGTCATTAAAAAAAGATAGATTAAAAGTTTATTACCTTACCAAATGAAGTCTTTGTTGTTTTTTTTTTAGTTTTTCTCAATATTTGTGCTTGATTTAATCAACATTTCCTTGATATAATTGAAGATTATATGGAAGATATGTCGCGATGTAAATCAAATCTTAGATGTTATACCAAAAGTTTACCCAAAAGAATCTTTGGTCACTAAGAAGAAACATGGCATCTGTACCTTAGAAAATCTTAATTTGATAAACATCAACTTTTATGCTACCAAGCTTGCAAATCGGTCATTTACTCCAAAACTTTCCAATAGAAAATTAAAGAAATCATTTGAATTGAGTAAGAAAAAAATTAAATATCCTCCAACTTTTGTTCCTATAAATCTCCCTACTCAATTAAATGATGGCATGTGTCATATTAATATATTAAAATATCATTAAATATGCATTAAATGTTATACATGTCACTATTTAATTTGGTAGGAGGATTTGTAGGAACAAAAAGTAGGAGAATATTTAATTTCTCATTGAGTAAATGTGTAAAAACTTGATCAAGAAAGGTAATTAAAAAGATCAAAAATCTTTTAATACTGCAATTATAAACTACCATTGATGCATCGATCACATTTGAATAGTTTATGATCAATAATCTCCTCTCCATATGATGTTTGCACCATATTGAGTTGTTAGTAATCTGAATGGTAATGTCCCCTGACAGAAGAACAAAGTTGTGTAATTTATAATATTGATTAATTACACTTAAACATGAACGTAAAAGCAATTTGATCTGTAACACCTCGAGATTCAGGTGCGTTTCTTTTACCTTTATTCTTTGTCATTAGTCATGATTAGCCCTTGTGTGGAGAAAACTTAGCAAGTGAGTATGCTGGGCGTACCAGAGGGGTACGCTGCGCGTACTCGTGTGCTTAGTTTGGACACGAAATCGCCAAGGTACGCTGGGCGTACCCAGAGTTACGCCGGGGGTACCCGGCCCAGGTGCAAAACCCTAATCCGTCTTGTGCACTATTTAAAGGGTGCTAAGGCTCATTTCTCAGCCTCCATATCAGTGAGGGAAACCCTAAAAAAGAGCTTCCCACCGTCCTTAGTGTGTGTGAGTGTTATTGGAGCTAATTGTGCTTTAGTGACTTAGTGAAGAAGAAGGAAAGGAGTTCTTGGAAGCTAAAGCTTGAGATCTACAGAGCAAGGGACTACACTTAGAGGTATAAAGTTCAAAACTTTCCTCTTCTTTTTATTTGTTGTTGCATGTGCTATTTCTAGGGCTAAAAACCCCAAAGGTGGAGACTTTATGAGTGTAAAGTACTCCATGGTCCGAGATTTGTCCCCATTCAGTGCTATTAGTGATTTAGAGCCATAAAGTTTCCATCTTTAGTGTTAGTTTGAGGTCATGCTTGAGTAATAAGCCTTCTAGGGTTAGAGGATGAAATATTATGGGAGTTATTGGCTTGTTCAGCCATGCAAAGGCACAAAGTCATCAACTTTATGGATTAAGAGGCTTAGATGTGGTCAGATCTAGAAATTGGACGTGAGTCTTAACTGTTTAAGACCTCAAGAGCTAAGGAGCTGAAGTTGGGGAGTACGCCAGGCGTAATCCCAGTAGGCGCCGCGTAGTGGGTGGCATTCCCCGATCATGACATGCAGCCGGGTACGCTCAGCGTACACATCTGGTACGCGCAGCGTAACCCGGAAAGTTGACTTTTGGGTTGACTTTTAGGGTATGGTCTATTGTGGGGCCTTTTGAGTTGTAAGAGGGGTAAAATGGTCATTTAACCTTCTGAGAGTGTCATAAGAGGACATAGTCTATCCTTTGAGAGTTATAATAATTAGGGTATTTATTTTATATGATTAGGCGGAGGTTAGACCAGTGTTACCGAGTTAGAGATTACCGAGATACCCGAGGTGAGTCTTCTCACTATACTTTACCTAGTGTGGTAACAGAGTTATGTGATAGATTATTTTAGAGTTATATGCCAGTGTAATTGCATGTTATTTATGTGCTATGACTTATTGTGATATGTGTTATGCATGATTCAGAGTTACAGAGTTAAGACCTTCGGGTCCGGGTCCACAGAGTTAGGGCCAGAGGGCCCATAGAGAGTTGGGGCTGGAGGGCCCCACTGAGACACATAGACCTGAGGGTCAACAGAGTTACAGCCTCGAGTGGCTATTATGTGTTAGAGTGGTATTTTGGAGAACTCACTAAGCATTTATGCTTATAGTGTTATGTGTTATGTGTTTCAGGTACCAATGATGATCGCGGGAAGGCACCGGCATGACTCGTACACACGCACACCGGAGTTTATGTATTTGGATCTTGGGTTTTGTACTGATACAATGTTAACATAATGTTTTTTATTTATGATTAAAAATGATATTTTATGAATTTTCAAAAGTGAAAATTCTTCAAAATTTTAAGGTGTTACAAGTTGGTATCAGAGCCTTGGTTTGAGGGATTCAGATACATCTTCGGGCGTATCTGAACTCAAACTGGGGATTTGAGGAAATTTTTAATAATAAAATAAATAAATAATATTTTTGAAAAAGAGTAAAAAGAGTCTTGAGACAAACAGAGCAGAGTCGTGTGTACGATCAGCCAGCGCCCGAACGGTGATTTCCCAAAATACGCTCATAATAAGTGATTATCAGATATGTGATGTTATGCTATATGATGAGTTACGATATGGATGCTAGAGTAGACTAGGTACTCTTATTAGGACTAGAGTGGTTTGATATATGATGCCTTAGTCCATGGGTTTTGCTGTTAGAGATGCTTAAGAGTGATTTAGATAGCAGCGAGGTGCTTATGAGAGATTTACTAGTGAGTAGCACATGATAGAGAGAGTAGAGTACTTGGGATTTGGTGCTCAAGGAGTAGGACTTGGGATGAATGGCGATGCGGTATGGACGGTAGTATTGGGCCTGTACTACTGAAGATACCGGGTTGGTGCGCAGTCCAAGTAAGAATCCTTAGGGTACTAAGGAACAAGTAGTGTGGAGTTATTGAGTGTGAGTATACTCGAAGGGGTCTCTAATATTCTTATGTTGTATTTCAGAAGGAGACCATGGTTAGGACACGCCACACACCAGAGAGCAGTAGCACGATCAAGGTTGAGATCCGTAGGATCATTCAGGAGGAGGTGGTTGCGGCCATCAGGGCGGAGATACCAGAGATGTTCGGGTCTATCAAGACCACTCTGATTGAGACATTTGATGAGAGATATGCTGTTCTTTCTAAGGCTGTTGTTGCTGCAGCCACTGCAGCTATAGCTGCGACGAGACCGCAGGGTGGTGATGCGTTGCTGTTCTGGGAATTCAGCAACACGAAACCACCAGAGTTCGATGGGACCCAGGACCCATTTGAGCGATGAGATGGATATCATACATTGAGGGGTGTTTCTTTACCTGCTCATCCCCTGAGCATTTGAGAGTTCGGTTTGCACTGAACCAGCTTCGCTTGGGAGCGAAGGACTGGTGGAAGTTTGTGACAGCGCACTTTACGACTGTTGAGCTTGCTGCAGTGACCTGGGAGAGGTTCACTACTATGTTCTGAGATAAGTATGTTCCCCAGGTGGAGAGGGAGCGTTTGGCCCATGAGTTTCTGACCCTCAAGCAGGATACTGAGTCTGTTACAGTGATTACGAGGATGTTCCATGAGCGGGCGATGTTCTGCCCAGAGCACGTGTCCTCTGAGCAGGCACGTATGAGCCGATATTTGAGCATTCTGAGGAGGGATATACGCGAGTATGAGTCGATATTTGAGCATTATGAGGAGGGATATACGCAAGTTCGTGGCGAACTCGATGTACCTGACATTTGTTGAGCTTCAGGCAAATGCCCGGAAGATGGAGATAGAGCTGGAGACCCAGGCTAGAGAGGAGGTTGAGTCTCAGGGGAGGGATCGGCGACAGATGTAGTCTCAACCGGTAGCCAAGTGGGCCAAGCCCGCTGATTCGAGACCAGGGAGCCAGAGGGGCCGCGCTTGTGGCAAGTGCGGCAAGAGCCACGATGGGGTGTGCAGAGCAGGGTCTTGCTACAAATGTGGCAAGGAGGGGCATATGGCCAACGACTGCCCCAAGGGGTTTGCAGTATGTTTTCACTGCAACCAGACCGGACACCGGAAGGCAGAGTATCCGCAGCTGCGGGGATCAGCATAGGGAGCATTTCAGGAATCTTCCCCTACTGCCATCAGAGCTACTGAGAGCCGGGCAGTGAAGGCCGAGGTACCGAAGGCACGAGGGAGAGCCTTCCAGTTGACTGCGAAGGAGGTCCGTGCAGCGCCCGATGTCGTGGCCCGTATGTACTCTTTCATGTATTCTTTTGTATTTTGTGATATTGTGCTTATATTATGTTATGCCTAGGTACTTTCCTTGTGAATTATGCACCTTCTCTAGTGTTACTAGACTCGGGCGCGAGTCGATCTTTTGTATCGTTGGCCTTTAGCGGACACATTAGTATTAGTCGAGAGGCGTTGAGTCGACCTCTGAGAGTTTCCATAGCGGATGAGAGAGTGGTGTATGCCACCGAGGTGATTCGTGGTTGTGTACTTGAGATTTTCGGGGTTGAGTTTCCGATAGATTTGATCCCTATTGCGATGGGGGATGTCTATGTCATCGTGGGCATGGACTGGTTGAGCAGATTTGGAGCGATCATCGATTGCGAGCGACAGCTGGTGACCATGCGAGACCCTAGTG